CTAAGTTTTGTGTTTTTTTGTTTTGTTTTGTTTTGTTTTGTTTTGGGTAGCTATTGTAAATGAGATTGCCTTCTTGATTTGGTCCTTGGCTAGATTATTATTGTTATATGAAAATGCTACTGATTTCTCTATATTAATTTTGTATCTTAAACAAATCTGAATTCATTTGTCAAATGAATTCAGAATTCCTCCTTGATGTCAAATTCCTCCTTGATGTTTTGGAATGGTCTATGAGAGTATTTTGGTGGAGTGTTTAGGGTTTTCTAGATATAAGATCACATCATTAGCAAAAAAGGATAATTTGATGTTCTCTTTTCCAACTTGGATGCTGGTTTTGTTTCTGTTTTTGTTTTTTCTCATGCCTGATTGCTCTGATAGGGACACCTGCTACTATTTTGAATATAAGTGGTGAAATTGGACATCTTTTTCATATTCCAGTACTCAGAGGGAATGCTTTCAACTCTTTCCTATTAAATCTCATGGCTGTGGGTTTTTTTTTGTTGTTGTTGTTCATTTTGGTTTGTTTGTTTGTTGTTTGTTTTGAGACAGAGTGTCACTCTGTCACCCAGGCTGGAATGCAGTGGTGCTATCGTGGCTCACTGCAACCTCTGCCTCCCAGGTTCAAGTGATTATTCTGCCTCAGCCTCCCAAGTAGCTGGGACTACAGGTATGCACCACTACGCCCAACTAATTTTTTTTTTTTTTTTTTTTTAATAGTAGAGATGAGGTTTCACCATGTTGGCCAGGCTGGTCTTGAACTCCTGTCCTCTGGTGATCCATCCTCCTCGGCCTCCCAAAGTGCTAGGATTACAGGTGTGAGCAACTGTACCTGGCCTTGGCTGTGGGTTTGTCATATATGACCTTTATTATGTTGAGGTACATTCCTTCTATGCCTAGTTTGTTTAGGATTTTTATATTAAAGTGATGCTACATTTTATCAAATGCCTTTTATGTGTCTGTTGAGATGATCGTATGGTTTTTGTCTTTAATTTTTTTTATGTGATATGTCATGTTTATTGATTTGCTTATATTGAACCATCCTTACATTCCTGGGATAAATCCCACTTGATCCTGTTCTGTTATCTTTTTGATGTGCTGTGGGATTTGATTTGCTAGTATTTTGTTGTTTCTGCATCTGTGTTTATTAGGGATTTTGGTCTGTAGTTTTTGTTGTGTCCTTGTCCGATTTTGGTATCAGGGAGACACAGGCTTCATAGAATGAGTTAGGGAGAATTCTCCCCTCCTTGATGTTTTACAATGGTTTGAAGAGGACTGGTGTTAGCTTTTCTTTGTATGTCTGGTAGAATTCAACTGTGAATCCGTCTGGTCTTGAGTTATGTTTTATTGGAATATTTTTTGTTACTGCTTTTATCTCACTACTTATTATTGGTCTGTTCAGTCTGTTTTCTTGCTGGTTCAATATTGGGAGGTGGTACGTTTCCAATAATTTATCAGTTTACTCTAGGTCTTCTAGTTTGTGAGCATATGGTTTTTTATAATAATCTCTGATCTTTTGTATTTCTCAGATATCAGGTTTTTCTTAATCCATTCTTCATCCTTTTTCATTTATCATTGTATTTATTGGACTCTTCTGTCTTATTGTTTAGTATAGCTAGTGGTTTATCAATCAATTTTGTTTATCTTTTCAAAAAAACGGCTTTTTATTTTATTGATTCTTTGTATTTTTTTTTTCTGGTCTTTTAACTTGTTTCTGGTCTTTGAATTTTTTTCTTTGTATCTTTTTCCCTTAAAGTGTGATATTAGATTGTTAATTTGGGATCTTTTCACTGTTTTGATATAGACATTTAATGCTACAAACTCCCTGTTGGCACTGCTTTTGCTGTATGTGTTGTGTTTTCATTATTTATTTAAAATTTTTTTTACATCCATCTTAATTTCTTCATTGACCCATCAATTGTTCAGAAGCATACTGTGTTTAACTTCAGAAACTATAAAAAAAAACTGTATTTTTATAGTTTCTGAAGTTTCTCTTGGTATAGATTTCTAGCTTTATTCCACTGTGGTCTGAGAAGATACTATATATGATTTTGATTTTTAAAATTGTTATTATTATACTTCAAGTTCTGGGGTACATATGCAGAGCATGCACAGATTTTTCACATAGGTATACACGTGTCATGGTGGTTTGCTGCATCCATCACCCTGTCACATTTCTTCTAATGCTATCCCTCCCTATCCTCCTACCCCCTGTTAACCCTTCCTTAGCTCCCTACCCCCCAACAGGTCCTAGTGTATGATGTTCCCCTCCCTGTGTCCATGTGTTCTCATTTTTCAACACGTGCTTATGAGTGAGAACATACAGAGTTTGGTTTTCTGCTGTTGTATTAGTTTGCTGAGAATGATGGTTTCTAGCTTCATCCATGTGCCTGCAAAGGACATGAACTCATCCTTTTTCTGGCAGCATAGTAGTCCATGGTGTAGACGTGCCACATTTTCTTTATGCAGTCTGTCATTGATGGGCATTTGCATTGGTTCCAAGTCTTTACTATTGTGAACAGTGCTGCAGTAAACATACATGTGCATGTGTCTTTAATAGAATGATTTGTAATCCTTTGGGTAAATGCACAGTAATGGGATTTCTGGGTCAAATGGTATTTCTATTTCTAGATCTTTGAGGAGTTGCCACACTGTCTTTCACAGTGGTTGAACTAATTTACACTCCCACCAACAGTGTAAAAGTGTTCCTATTTCTCCACTTCCTCTCCAGCATCTATTGTCTCCTGATTTTTAATGACTGCCATTCTAATTGGCATGAGATGGTATCTCTATGTGGTTTTGATTTGCATTTCTCTAATGACCAGTGATGATGATTTTTCATATCCTCAATTGATTTACTGATTTATTTGTATTGGTTTTCAGATTTCTCCTTCATCTCATTGAGCGTTAGTCAGTATTTTGAATTATTTGTCTGGTGTTTTGTGGATTTTTTTAAAATTTAAAATTCTTTATCTTATTTTTGAACCTAATTGTAAGTTTTCAATTGGGGGATTCCTTTTGACTGCAGTATGTCACTGGAAAATTGTTGTGGTCCTTTGGAGATGTTATTTTTCCCTGCTTTTTCATGTTTCCTCTCTTCTTCCATTGATGTCTCCACATCTGATCTAGCCATCACTTGTTCAACTATTTGAAATTGCTTTTGTAGGGGAAAATATTTTCCTGAAGATGTATGGGTGTTTTCAATTAAAATACTTTGGCTTCTATTTTGGGCTCCTGTGGTAGTGTGATCTTTGTATGAATTCTTCATCAGTATACAAGGTCAATGATACCTGTGATTTCCTTGGTTGCTTGTAATATTAGTTGATATTACAGTGAAGTTTAGCTGAGGACTTGGTTGCCATCTGAGCCAGTCTTTGAGCCCCAGTGGTGGCAGCATTATGATAAGTGTGCCTGTGTTTAAGCCCCAAAGCAACTTACCTTTATTCTACTGTTAGTGAGTCCCGGAGGGCTGATTCTTGGGCCTCCAGGTGGCTTGCCTTAGAAGCTACTAGTGGGAGTGGTTGGCCAGATATTTGGGTCCTCGGGCCCTTGTTCAGCTGGTATGGTGTGGGTGATGGCAGTAGCAATGGTAGAACAACCCTGCTGGATCCCAGGCAGTCCATGTTGGTGTTGCTGGAAGCTGCAGTGGGTTGGGCAGGTTAGTCCTCAGTCTCACATCCACTGTGGTAGTGCAGTGTCTCTTGTCCTAAGTTTTCTTAGAAGAGCTTTGTCTCTTCGCTCCGTTTCTTGACTGACTGGCAGCTGTAGCCACCATGCCTATTACTCAGCCTGAGGCTGGGGCAAAGCCCTACACGTTGGGACTGAATCCAGGGAGGGCAGCGCCCCTCTCAGGCAGGCAGCATGGGCACAAAGCAATATGGAGTGTCGTCCACTCACATCTCAGTCTCATGGCAACCCATTATAGGGTGTGAGTATTGTTGTAGATATGCATAGGAGAGCCTGGTTTCCCTTTTTCTCCTTGACAGGTTAGCAGCTACAGCTGTGTCAGCCCAATCTTAACCTGAGGGCAGGGTGCTCTCCAGTGTTAACCTCTCAAGATGGCACCTTGGGCCTGACAGAGAGGGTGGGTTCCTCCTAGGCAAGAAGCTGTGGGGAGTGTGGTCTGCTCATGTCTGTCTCAACAAAAGCCTGCAGCAGGTCAGTAGGGACCCTCCCAGCGGTGCATTGGAGCACCCAGCCTCCCTTCTCCCTCCTTGGAGCAGCACAGCAGCAGCAGGCTTATCTCTAGATCTCCAGTATCTAGATTCTCAAAGTGGCACCTAGCTAAGGTTGCTCTAGGATCCGATGCCTGTGGGATTCTGAGTTTCCTTTCTGGAGTAATGTCTCTGTACAGTCTTTAGACAGCTTATTATGTCAGGCCCAAGGCCCTAGTGGGTAGAGGGTTTCTCTCATCACTAAGATCCTATAAACCTGTTTCAGAGTGTAGAGCCCTGGAGGTATCTCCATATCTCTCTTATTGTTTCCCCACATCCAGGAGCCCCTCCTGGCTCAGTCAGTTCCTGGCTGGGTAAGCTACCTCTCCTTAGTTAAGAACCCTCTCCTTATCTACTTCTGGTACTTCCTGTCTCTTCTCTGATGAATCCTAGCATTCTTACCTACATTATCTGTTCAAAATATGAGTGTCTACTTACTATTCTGGTTCCTCTTTATGGAGAAGGCACATACCTATATCTAGTCAGCTGTCTATGCTTCACATATTTTTAAAGGTTGTGAGAGATGTGCTCTCTAGGGTTTTATAAGTTGTACAAGTTCTATAAACAAAAATCACATACATCTGTTTTCATTTTGTCTCCTAAGATGGAACATGTAAAGTGCTTGGCAACTATTAAGTAGACTGTGGTAAAAATGACCAATAACTGGCAGTGATTATCATCATATTGTCATTCTTTCAGTGAAATGTTAATTTTACTGTAGAATGCATTCATTATTATAAATTACATTCATTGAATAAAAGCATAATCTGATTTTTTTTCCCTTGGCAGCAACTTGAATTAGTGGAACCAAGTGGCTGGATTCATGTTCCCTTAACTGATAATCATAAGAAGCCAACTCGCACATTCATGATACAGATTGCTGTTCTAGCCAATCACCAAAATGGAAGAGACACCCATATGAGACAAATAAAAATATACACACCGGTAGAAGAGAGCTCCATTGGTAAATTTCCTAGATGTACAACTATAGATTTCATGATGTATCGTTCAATAAGGTGACTTTAAAATGAGATGAAAATCATTAAATGTATCTTTGTTTTATCCCATCTTTAAATAGTATATCAGATACCTTTATTGAAAAAAATCATCAGTTATTTGTAATTTTGTATATGTTCAAAAATATTTTATTGTAACTTTGATAAATAAGTAAATTTTCGGTCATATTATCTTTATTTTCTTTAACGTATAATAAAGCTCACATATTTTACATTACTAAAAATGGCTTTGAAGCCAATCATTTTATTTTCCCTTATATCAAAAGAAAAGAGTTGAACTGAAAATTTCAATATGTACACAATTATAATAGCTAGGTGATTATTTCATTAGTATTCATACATTAGAGTAATTGTTCATTGCATATTCAAGAACAAGACTGTGTTTCATCTGTGTATGTCATTTCAATAGATTGAAATTACTATTTTTTCTACCCTGAGGAAGTTTATTCTTTTAATACTGGATCTTTTTAATAGCAGTGTCAAAATAAGCTTAGTGTTAGGTGTCTGATGGGAACCAATCTAATATGGGAAATATAATTAATTGTCTCATATTTACCTTCATAGAATACTTACAGCCCTAGGGTTGTCTATGTCCTAATGATATTATGTTAAAGATTGCCTGCATAATCTGCTATACATCTTAGTTATAGCAGTATTTATGGTAGAGTTTCATATTTGTGTCTGCCACTGACATTCCCTGGGCAGTTATGTATCCCATAAAATCATAAAGGTATGTGAAATTTTTTATATATATTAAAAGATTTTAAAGAAATACGTGGAAATGTGGTTTTTTTCCATGGTGTAAAATGAGTAGATTAGATATTGCATACTTTTTTCTCCAGATGTGTTACTTTTCTGGCGGTGGGGGCGATGGTTATTTAGCCACAGAACTTACTCAGATTCACTCTTGTTTAGGAAACATTGCTCTCTGTGGTTCGTGCATTCCTGGGTGTATGAAAGTATTAAATAGTGAATATTATTTTTATAATAGTGTGTTTGCTTTATTCTGGTAGAGAGTACATATTTACTTGGATACCATAGAAAATGGTTTCACTTTTTTGCTCATTAAGAACTTTGCTCTTCTTCCTATAAGTTCTGGGAATAATTTTATTATTATTTTCATTGTGTTGTTTTTGAAGTAAAAAGCATGGTAGGTGATCTTTAGGCTTACCAAAAAGTCTGTAACTAAAACTTATTTGGAATCACCAAATTAAACACAATATACATGTCAGATGCTGGGGAGGGTAGAAGAGAGGATTGAAGGAGAAAGCCATGGATAGGAACTAAAGGAAATGGAGGGAATGAAGGCAATAAGAAATGTACACTACGCACTAATGTTTTCCTTTAGTCTGATAAGGAAGACAGTCATGTAACAACAGGGTCTTAGTATTAGACCTAAGAGCTAGAAATCTAATTTTTTTTAAAGTACGAGAAGTTTTATTAATAATGATACTTCTTACTGACTGCTTATTAAGTTTGCTTAAAAGAAAAAAGGAGGAAGACTAATTTGTCACATACACCATCTAGTCTCTTATCTCCTATTAATAGTTTGCTAAGAGACTCCTAAAATCAGGAGGTATTAGAAGAATGTTGAGAAAATCAATATGTTTTCTACTTTTATTCTCCTTACCTATTTTTCATATGCCAGCTAGCTGACCATTTTATTAGGCATGAGAAAACTTGGTAGCTGAGGATTATGGAGATAATGCTTCCCCTTATTATGGAAAATTTAAAATACAGATAGATTATATATTATACTAACAAAGCATAATTATCCAAAGCAGTTGTATTTTACTTTCTAAAGTGCAAATTATATATTTGACCAAGATTTATATCTCGAATATATAAAAATCTCTTACAACTCAACAGTAAGAAGAAAAATCCAATTTAAAAATTAGCAAAAGAATTGAACAGTCATTTTACCAAGGAAGTTATATGATTGGCAAATAATCATACAAAAAGATGCTCAACTTCATTGGACACTAGTGAAAAGCAAATAAAAACCACAGTGAGATACTGCTACACAGCCACTACAATGACTACAATTAAAATGATTATTCCAAGTATTGACAACAATGTGGAGAAAATGGACTTCACAATGCTGGTACAGGAATACCTCAGGATGCTGCAGGTTCAACTTCAGAGCACCACACAATAAAGTGAATAGCACAGTAAAGTGAATATCACAATAAAGTGGGTCACCGAAACGTTTTGGTTTCCCAGTGCTTATAAAATTATGTTTATACTATATTGTAGCTTAAAAAATGTATGCATACCTTTAAAATACTATTGCTAAGTGCTAACAATAATCTGAAGCTTAGGCAAGTTATAACCTCTTTGCAGGTGGAGGGTCTCATCCAGGTGTTGATGGCTGCTGACTTAGCAGGTGGTGGTTGCTGAATGCTGACATGGCTGTGGCAATTTCTTAAAATAGAACAACAATGAACTTTGCCTCATTGTTCGACTTTTCATAAAAGATTTCTCTGGGGTGGGCGCGGTGGCTCAAGCCTATAATCCCAGCACTTTGGGAGGCCAAGGCGGGTGGATCACTAGGTCAAGAGATCGAGACCATCCTGGTCAACATGGTGAAACCCCATCTCTACTAAAAATACAAAAATTAGCTGGGCATGGTGGCACAGCCTTGGGAGTCTGAGGTAGGATAATTGCTTGAACCCAGGAGGTGGAGATTGCGGTGAGCCAAGATCACACCATTGCACTCCAGCCTGGGTAATAAGAGCGAAATTCTGTCTCAAAAAAAAAAAAAAAAAAAAAAAAGATTTATCTGTAGCATGTGATGCTGCTTGGTAGCATTTTACTCACAATAGAACTTCTTTCAAAATTGTAATCAATCCTGTCAAGTCCCGCTATTGCTTTATCAATTAAGTTGATGTACTCTTCTAAGTCCTTTGTTTTCATTTCAACAATATGCACAGTTTCTTCACTAGGAATAGATTCCATTTCAAAAAAACAATTTTATTCCTCATCCATGAGAAGCAGCTCTTCAGCCATCCAAGTTTTATCATGAGATCGCAGCCATTCAGACACATCTTTAGGCTTCACTTCTAATTCTTGTTCTCTTGTTATTTCTACCATATGAGCCATTACTTCTTCCACTGAAGTTGTGAAGCTCTCAATGTCATCCATGAAGGTTGGAATAAAATTCTTTACAAACTGCTGTTAAAGTTGCTATTTTGACCTTCTTTCATAAATGATGAATGTTCTTATGGCGCCTAGAATGGTAAATCCTTTCCAGAATGTTCTCAGTTTTGCTGAGATCCATCAAAAGAATCACTTAGCTGCTAGTGTTTTATGAAATGTATTTCTGAAATAATAAGACTTGAAAGTCAGAATGATTCTTTGGTTCATGGGCTGTAGAATGGATGTTGTGTTAGTGGGCAGAAAAACAACATAAATCTCCATCAGAGCTCTTGGGTGACCAGGTATATTGACAATGAGAAGTAATATTTTGAAAGAATCTTTTTTTCTGAGCAATGGAGCTCAACAAAATTATGCTCTACACAGGTGTTCTGTCATTCAGGCTTTGTTGTTCCACAGAGCACAGGCAGAGATTTAACATAATTCTTCAGGGCCCTAGGGTTTGCAGAATGGTAAATAAGCATTGGCTTCAACTTAAAATCACTAGCTGCATCAGCTTCTAATAAGAGAGTTATTCTGTTTTTTGAAACTTTGAAGCCAGGCATTGACTTTCCTCTAGCTATGAAAGTCCAAGGTGGCATCATCTTCCGATAGAAGGCTGTTCATCTACATGGAAAAATCTGTTGTTTAGTATAGCCACCTTCATCCCTTACTTTCTAGATTGGGGTATTCAATTTTTTGGCTTTCCTGGGCCACATTGGAAGAAGAATAATTGTCTTCTAACGATAGCTGACGAGAAAAAAAAAATTGTTAAAAAACTAAATGTTTTAAGAAAGTTTACAAATCTTTGTTGGGCCACATTCAAAGCCATCCTGGGCCACATGCAGCCAGTGGCTCGTGAGTTGGACAAGCTTGTTCTAGATCTTCTGGATAACTTGCTGCAGCTTCTCCACCAGCACTTCCTGCTTCACCTTGCTCTTTGCAAATCTTTACCATTAGGTCGTTGCCTCCTTTTTGTCTCCGTGTGGTCCTTAAGCCCAGGTTCTCCTCTGCTCTAGTAAATTATTGGAGTGCTGCCTGTCTTAAATGGGGGAAGTCCCAAAAGGATTATTCTGGCAGTATAGGAAGGCTGGTAGTGGTTTGTGCCCAAGGGACCTGTAAACGTACCTCCTACAGCATGGTGCTGCTGAATAGCCATTCTGATGTGGTGTCTCCTTTAGCTGAGTTACAGAGCCAAGTTTCCAGGGCTGGGGATGGTAGTCCTACCTCCCTGGTTTGTCTCTGCTTGTCCTCAGGGATATTTATACCTTCAAGCAGTCATGATGCTTCCTGTGTGTAAGGCAGGTACAGGTTTCTTGCCAGGGAATCCAAGATGATGGGAAAGCTGATGGACTACTGATATTGTTTGGATGTTTGTTCCTTCCAAATTTCATCTTGAAACATAATCCCCAGTTTTGGAGGTGGAGCCTTGGGGGAGGTGTTTGGATCATGGGGGTGGATTTCTCAGGAATGACTTGATGTCTCCTTAGTGATAAGTGAATTCTCACTCTGAGTTCACAGGAGATCTGATTGTTTTAAAAGAGTGTGGCACCAAACCCATCTCTTGCTCTTGCTCTTACCATGTCATGCTGGCTCTCCTTGGCCTTCCCCCAGGATTTTAAGCTTTCTGAAGCCTTCACCAGAAGTAAATGCTGACACCAGCTTCCTGTACAGTCTGCAGAACCATGAGCCAATTAAACCTCTTTTCTTTATAAATTACCCAGCCTCAAGGATTTATTTTTAGAGAGGCAAAAACAGAGTAACACTACTACCTCAATCTCATTTTTTCCAGTGTAGAAACTGAGTTGTGGGAAGACTTTTTGCAAGCTTGGTTCAGGGCAGAATTGTCAGGAGGGGCATTGTGGATGTGGAAGTCTGATTCTTCTACCGTCTGCTTGAAGTTGTTTTACTTCTCTATGGTTCTGTGATCTGTCTCATCCTCATATATGAGTTCTGCATAGCTGCTGGTAAAAAATCTTGGTGCTGAATATTTGTTTTTGGTTTTCTGTGGGGGAGTGAGGCCAGCTTGCTTCTATGCTGCCTATTTTATTTTTAATTTTTTTTTAATTTTTCAATTTTTCTCTTCAAA